TCCTATTATATGATTTAAATATATAACTTAGTTAAACAGAATTTAATTCTCACTTCAGTCCTGTAAGAGTGGTGTTCTAATCACCATTTCACAGATGAGGGAGCTAAGGCTCTGAGTGGTTAAGTAACTTGCTCCACATCACAGAGCTTTGTAAATGTCAGACAGAGTCCACCATTATTTTACTCAACCCTGTGTCACCTCTGTGTTTCTCACTGGAAGGTGATAGAAACAGAGGCAATGCAGCTCTGCTTCATTTGGCTGGTGAGAAAGTTGAGAAAAGGCTCCCCAGCAGCTGCTCTGTGGGGAGTTAAGGTGGGGTGTCCCTAGTCACAATAGCGAGTGGACCCAGAGGCCCGGTTCACCTATTTGGCAGGAGTTGTGTGTGTTAGGAGATAGCAGTAGAAATCAAACCATCTTGGTTCCTAGGTTTTGATGTGGATTAACCTATTTTACATATGAAATATAGAAGGTAGGGGTCTCATCTAAGGTGCGGAGCTACCTGGCTAGACAAACATGTCAGCTGCAGAAGGAGATGAAGACAGCCTGGACCTTAGGACTCTCCTTCCCTGGCCGTGGAGTTGCTGAAGGCATTTTTAGTGTGTATTTATAGAATGGACATCTGATTATCTGAGACTAGTGAATATATGTGTCTGTGGCTGCAGGTCTAGGAGAGAGGTGGGTTGTGTTTGCATGGCTTTGGAAGGTCTGAGTGGATCAGGGCAGATGGAATGGCCATATTCAGCACTTTCCAGGCAGTCTTGCAGTCTTCTAACTAGACCTCTGTCTGCAGGGTGCTGTAGCTTTGTCTTTCCCTTCTGTGTATCTCCTGGCTGTGTCTGCCACGGCAGGTCTCAGTGAATTAATAATTGGTACTACTATGATCTGAATATTAGACAGATGGAGAATTGCTTGAGCTTTTAAAAAAACGAATATTTAGGACGGTTAAATATATAAATACCAATTCCAAAGTGCCAGAGGTCGTTACCTTTAATGTGAATATTTATGGAGCCAATAGATTAATGAGAAGTTCTTTGTTTGAAATAGAAGATCTGATTCAGAATCATTTGGCAGTGTAGGCCTTCCCCCGACAAGATCTGGGCTTTTCCCTTTTTTCCTCCATCCTTCTCTTCCTGTCCTCCCAGTTTCCTCAGATTCCCAAAGCTGCTAGGAAGCAATTTAAATTCCTTTCCTGCATCAGTTCATCACTGGTTGGCACATAGTATCCTTGTTGATGAATATTCACTTCTCGGGTGATTCAGGAATGGTTATTTCTGAAAACTTAAATATTTAATAATGATCAAGTCAGGAATAAAGATGAGGTGAAACATCCTTTATTATCTCCTCCCGTAGGACTCATGAGAGTTGAGATCAGTAGTCTCTGTGTTTTGGTTTTGCTCTGGTTATTTACACAACTGTTTGGCAACAGCGTGCCCTCCCCTTGCCTCAGGTTGAGTCGCCTTATTCTGCCCGCCTCGCTTTCATCAGCAGTGCCTCTGGCCTCTGCTGTGAGGATCAGAGCTGACGGAAGCGGGAGAAGGGAGTCAGTGTTCCCTGATTGCTTACTGTGTGCCGGGATTAGGGCCTAGTTCTTTATGCATCTTGTCTCATTTAATCCTCGAACGATAGTTAGAGAGTAGTAGTCTTATTTTATTAGTACAGAAATAGAATCTCATAGAAATGAATAAATTTGCCCAAGGGCACAGAGCTTGCAGTATGTTCAAGATTTGAACTGAGACCTAACTCCAGAGTCCGTGTTTTTTCATTACACTGACTACACTAGGGGTGTCAGGTCCCAGATCACCATAAGAACAAAGCTGGGAATAAATTCCAGGGCATTCTTGGTCATCTTGTATCCTGAACTGCTCCATTGTTTCTATCCATTTGAAATCGGCTTAGTATGAACATCAGATTGTCTTGACAGGAAAAATAAGAGAGAGCGTTGTCACATTTTAGGTTGTCGTGGGAGCGGGATTCTAGGTGAGAATCGGATGAAAGACAGGAGCAGTCCTTCACTTTGTTGTGGGGAGGCTGGGTTTGGAGGCAGAGGGACAGACTGTCCTGTACATGTACATGTGACCCTCAAAGAATTCTTAGCCTCAGTCAACAAGGCTGCAGTAAGCCATCTCCTCGGGTCCTAGCCCAGCTACCAGGGAGATCATCTACTTGATGTACCAGAAAAACAAGAAAAGTTTCCAGAAGAGTCAGAGCAAAAGAAAAAATGAAATGGATAAAAGCTACCAGATGAAGGAAAAGATGAAGCTCTGTGAACACTGCACAGGGTTGGGTTCGTGAGGCTCCTATCTTTGAATGGGGCCGTGACGCATGTCCAGTCCAGCAGTTCTTTTTTTTTTTTTTTTTAAAGATTTTATTTATTCAGTTTTTTCCCCCCAAAGCCCCAGTAGATAGTTGTATGTCATAGGTTCACATCCTTCTAGTTGCTGTACGTGGGACTCGGCCTCACGTTGGACGGAGAAGTGGTGCCTCAGGGCGCTCCCGGGATCCGAACCCGGGCCGCCAGCATCAGAGCGCGCGCACTTAACCGCTAAGTTAGGCTGCTGCAACGTGCCAGGCCTGTGCAAGGGCCTCTGAAGAGCTAAGATAAGGCCTTGGGAAGTGTATAGGCTGATGGGAACGGGATAAGGACAGGCAGCGATATCAAGTGGGGTAGGGGCTGTAAGGGAGGAAGCCATTTCAGTGGGGAAAGTCAGACTGACTGGGTTATTCTGGTCCGCATTGTGATCCTTAGCATGTTATATATGACTCTGGGGCTCAGTTTCTTCATCTGTGAAATGAGCAGCTTGTAGGAATATTGCAGCTGCAGGAGATGTATGTCACATGCTCGACTCGTAGTAGACTTCAGTAAATGGTCACGGTTTGACATTAAGGGCTGTGAGTGCCTGCCCTTGCTTCCCTATTGTGGGGGCTGGGCCTCTCACCCTGCTGCAGCTGCTCTGGGGCTGGGCCTCCAAAGCCCAGAGGAGAATAGAATTAATTTCAAATAAGCAGTAAGTTTATGAGTCAAGTGGTCAGGCAGAGGCTGGGGGCCAAACCAGGGCAGGGACGTCTGAAAGCAGAGCCCAGGCCAGGCTGCTGGCTGGAGCCCCAGGGGTATCCCGGGCCACAAGCTCAGTGGGAGAGCAGGGCGTGGCTCCGGCTTACCTCCAGTAAGTGATTGGGGCAGGGGGCCGTGTCCCTGGTGAGTCCCCACAGGGAATAGACAGGAGTGATCCCTGTCCCCAAAGAGTGAACCCTCCTGGTGGTGGGTGTGGGGGACAGGTAACCCGCTCAGGGGCTGAGGGCTCGGGTGACAGATTCTCCAACAAATGGAAAAGAAATGACCTATACAGGCGTACCTCAGAGGTATTGGGGGTTCAGTTCCAGACCACCACAATAAAGCGAATATCACAATAAAGTGAGCCACACGAAATTTTTGGTTTGCCAGTGCATATAAAAGTTATGTTTACACTATACTGTAGTCTGTTAAGTGTGCAGTAGCATTATGTCTAAAAAAAATGTACATACCTTAATTAAAAAATACTTTGTTGCCAAAAAATGCTAACCATCATCTGAGCCTTCAGCGGTCTTGATCTTTTTGCTGGTGGAGGTCTTGCCTCGGTGTTGGTGTCTGCTGATCAGGGTGGTGGATGCTGAAGGCTGGGGTGGCTGTGGCAGTTTCTTAAAGTAAGACAACAGAGAGTTTGCTGTGTCGATTGACTCTTCCTTTCATGAACGATTTCTCTTTCTTATCATTCATGTGTTCACTGGAGTAGCACTTTTAATTTCCTCCGAGAACTTTTCCTTTGAATTCACAGCTTGGCTAACTGTTTGGCGCAAGAGGCCTAGCTTTTGACCTATCTCGGCTTTCGACATGCCTTCCTCACGAAGCTTAATCATGTCTAGCTTTTGATTTAAAGTGAGAGACGTGTGTCTCTTCCTTTCACTTGAACACTTAGAGGCCGTTGTAGGGTTATTAATTGGCCTAATTTCAGCATTGTCGCGTCTCAGGCAATAGGAGGCCCGAGGAGGGGACGGTGGTGGGGAACAGCCGTTTGGTGGAGCAGGCAGAACACGCATGGCGCTTATGGGTTAAGTTTGCTGTCTTTACAGTTAACAGTTTGGTGCCCCGCAACAATTACAATAGTAATATCCAAGATCATTGATCACAGATCACCATAACAAATATAATAATAATGAAAAAGTTTTGAAATATTGCAGAAATTACCAAAATGTGACACAGAGACACGGAGTAAGCAAATGCTGTTGGAAAAATGACAGCGATAGACTTGCTTAACGCAGGGTCGCCACAGACCTTCAATTTGTAAAAAATGCTATAAAGCGAAGTGCAGTAAAACGAGGTGTGCCTGTAGTCTCACCATCCAGGTGTAACTGTTGTTAAGGTTCCTCTGTTCCTTCCAGACTTTTTTCTGTTCTGATGCATAGCGATATACGTATCTGTGTTCACCTAAATAAAATGCGACTAGACAATACTTAATGTTTTGTGAGGTGATTTTTTCAATCAAATTGTTATTCCTGTTTTCATTTTATATCATTTTAATGGATGCCTAGTGTTCTGTTGTATGAATTATATATTTCCTCACTGTGGGACGTTTACCCCCTTTCTAATTTTTTGCTATTATGAATTTTGTGGTAAACACTTTGTCGGTAAGTCTGTGAAGATGTACACAATTCATCCATGAAGCAGACTGCTAGGTCGAAGGATAAACAGAATTCTGAAGTTTTGATTGCAACAAATTTTCTTCTGGAAAGGTTGTATGAAATTGGCATTCCTGCTGGCAAGTGTGCAAACCTGTGTTTTCCCAGTTATGTTGACGGCCGTGTGTGACACTGCGATGAGGGAGTGTCTCTAGTTCAGTGCATGAAATGCTGTCTCTGTTTTACGTTCACGTACAGTGATTTATAGAGGCGGCTCCAGCTCTCCCTGTCTCCCTTACGTCTGCCGTTCCGGCCCTCCTCCCTGATGGTGGTCTTCTCTTTTGCAGCATTGCTGGGAGCCTGGTGTATTCCTACATCACTTTCTCTGAAGAGCAGCTGAGCAAACAGTCAGAGGCTGGTAACAAGCTGGACACCAAGGGGAAGGGAGCAGTGTGACAGAGGACTGCTGAGCCCCTGAGGCCACGCTTCTGATCAGCTCGGAACTCTGGCAACTCTTACGCAGAAACTGAGGTGTCTTGATTGTGGAGAAAATACCATTCCTTTGCACTTGTACAATCTGAGGATTGATTGCTGCCTTTTAAAATTTTATGAGAGAAACTTATAATTGACTCTATTTTAAATATGCCATTTGAATTAATTTATATCAGACTGGAAAATGTACTGGGCTTTTTAATTTATTTTTCCTCTATGCTGACAGTGAGACATCAGTGTTTTGAGAATATTTCATTCCATGGTTTGCTGTCCTGGCCTCCTGGGAGCTACACATATAAAGTGCTCCAGCTGGAGCCTCCTCGTTCACATCACCGCTGCGTCTGGGGGCAGTCCAGGCTGCCTTCCGCTGGAAATGCAGCCAAGTATCTGAAATTACTCTTCTTTAAATTCTATTTCTTAACGATTGCATTTTCCTCATAAGGATATCATACTGCGTTTGCCACAGATGACAACTTTGGCACTAAAAACTCTGTGGGGCTTTGAAGTGTATGGCTTTCAATGTTGGCTTCCCTGAGAACCCACAGGATGAGCAGAGTGCATGCCTTGAAAAGATGCTGCTCCCTCTCTGGGATGGGGATAGTGAAGGGGTGGAGGCAGGAGGCCTTTTACTCCTTTACTCGTCTTGCTCATTCATTCATTCAACCAGAATGTCCTGAGTGTGTGATGTGGGTAGGCATCGTGCTGAGTACTGGGGGCAGAGATGTTTCTGGAAGGAGTTGAGGGGTCTCCCTCCTGCTGTGGTGACTGTGGGTAAGACAGAGGCCTTAGCTCTGTCGGTCCATTCAGAAGACGATGTGACTGGGAACAAGGCACAGAGAGTCCCAGCTCTCAGAAACAGCACATCTTTGAATGGGGTTAGGAGCAGCTGCCCTCCCTAGCCGTCAGCGGGGTGAGACCTAATGCTGCAGCGTGTGCCATCAGCTGTGGGAAGAGCTGCGCTTGGTGAACGGTGCGCTCAGCCCCTCCTCTCTCTGTGCGCGCAGGCGGGCAGGCACCCTCCACCGCCCCTGCTTCCCTCCTCTGGGTTTCCTTCCTCCTCTTGCTGCTCCTCTCTAAATCAGCAGGACTGAGTCCATTGGTTTGAGGGGAAAGGCTGGTTAGATGTGTCTGTATTGTCAAGGCTTGGTCTTTTGCAGTGTCACTGTGAGCCATCACCTTCCTTTCTCCTTAGACGGCGTGAGTATCCCTCTGCCGCCTACATCCTGTGTCTCTTGGCTCACTTATTGAACATGCCAGCTTCTGTCCAGACCAGGGCTGCGTCCTGGGAGAGCGTCCGTGAATGGACGTTACCTGAGTTGCCTCTTGTTGGGGGCGGGGGCGAGGTGTTAAACACAGCCGTGTGACTTGGTTCAAAGACATCCATTGACTAGGGGGACAAGTATTTGCTGAGGCCAGCTGTGCAGTCAGTGTACCAGAGGCTGGGCACCTTTGCCCTGTTGCACACACTAGCTTCGATTTCATTGGATTGGAATCCACTGGGCTTTGTTGACCTAAACAATCAGTATTTTGGTGCCTCAGCAGGGGACCTAGAAGGTTTTTTTTTCTTTTTGTTTTTGAAGATTACACTGAGGTCATTTTCATATTCATGTTTTTCCCTTATTTTGGTTTGTCTTGATTAAAGCCTGCCAGTGGTGCTGGGTCCCTACAGTTAGCCTCATGGCCACCTCCAAGTTACAAGCTCCGTGCCACTTTTTTCCAGTATCATCTCATCTGAGAAAATTCCGGTGGGAGAATAGGATATCACCTTGTGTAGGATGCTTCTTATTGTGCCCGTTTTACCAATGAGAAAACAAGCCTCAGAGAATGTAGGTGACTTGTGGTTTTTTCCACTGAGCCAGGCTGCCATTGATCAGCTGCCCCTCTCTGAGGGCTGAGGAAGCAGGGATGCTGGCTGAGTTAGCTCGAGATCTTGCAGGGAGGCGAGCGGTTGATTGAAATTGGAGTCAGAGAGAAAAGCTGGGAGAGAGATGGGCGCTCTGTGTGCCAGAGCTTTTGCGAACTTCCAGGCCGGCCTCAGTTGATATGCACTTCTGGCTGTGAACGCTGCCGGCTTCTGCCCGCCTTTGCCCCAGTAGGGTGGAAAGGCATCGTGAGAGCGAATATTAGTGGTTCTGTTCCTTCCTCTATTGGCCACACAAAGGGGGGACCTTGGACATGAGAAATAATTTGTGTTTTAGAGTTTCTCATCGTGGAAGGCCTTTGGGTATGTCTGGAGGCTAGACCCCCACTAGGGGTTGAACTGCTTCAGGGGGTCAGGTTCCCTTACAGATCTGTCATCGCTCTGGGTTTATTTGAGAAAGTCATGTATAGGTACAGCTTCGCTAAATGCATGTGACCTCAGGGCCCCTGGCGTGTGCTGCGCTTTCTGACTGACCAGAAGCAGTGCAGCAACTCACAGCCCCTGCCCCGTCTACGTGCTGATTCCTGGCTCCCGCCTCGCCACGGATGTTTCCAGGGAAAGCAGCCTGGGAGGCTGGAGATGGAATAGACTGTCCAGCCATTTTTGGAGTTCGTTCTCATTTATATTCAGGCTTGTTTACAGTGCATGAGAGATTTACATGGTACTCTAGCATCGCCCAGAATGTCTGGATTTTGCCCCAAGGTTGATATCTTACAGGATAAAGATTCTTTGACCTATTAACTTCCTCCTGGGAGAAAAAGAGGCAGTATACAGTTAAATCCTTAATTTGCCCTGAGACAGATGAGCTGTGGTGAGAATTCTGAAAGCCAAATTTTATGACCAGTGGCTCCTCTTCTTGAGTTAGTGACAGTGACATCAGCATCCTCTTTGGCCAGTCTGCTTTTAGTCAGTGCCACATTGGTTTGAATAATGCTGGTTGGCTGGCCGATACATCGCCACCATGTCAGGAGACTGTTACTCATGGCTGTTGACTTTATGAGTCAGTCATTTGTAGGATCCAACTTGCATGTGGGTTAAAAAAAAAAAAAAAGTGCATTTGCAAGTTTTCTGTAGTCCCGTTGTAGCAGGAATCCGAGGGAAGTCCAGGTCAGTAACGCTCAGGAAGGATCTTCACGGGAACAATGTAGAGTTCCACGTCTAGCTGGTCTGGATGGTACCTGGGATCTGGGGCCTACCTTTGCTTTCATTGTTAGGGCCTTGTTCAGTGAGCAGAGGTTTACTGAGCATCTGTTTCATGCCAGGCATTATGCTAAGCTCCGGGGAAACTGAGATGAACAGGCCATGGTAGAATTCTTTAGCCAGACCCTAACTGAGAAAGCAGCAGATGAAGTCAGTGATTTGTGAGTGAGAGCTGCATGCAGGGTTACCAGTATCACAGATTGGGGTGCCCCACCCACAAGCTGAGGCATTTTTTTATTCCAGGAGGACTTTCATAATTCATATGAGTCTTCTAGGTCTGTGACAAGTGCCTGAAGGCTAGAATTGTGTGAATAGCCTGAGTCCCTCCTCCCTCTGCTGCATATACTCTCGCCTCCCCAGGACTGTGGGACTGTGGGACTCCTATGAACAACGCTGACGGAAAATCATAACATTCAGAATAAATGAGTTAATGGATGCGAAACTACTCAGCACGATGCCTAGTGCATGTCAGGCACTCAGCAAATATTGTGACTGTCATTATGTCATGGTGAGACTGTAGGCAGAAACAAGATTCTTAATGTGTGCTCCCTAAATGCTAGAGGCCTGGGCAGCGTGTGTATTTCTTAAAAAATGTGACCCTGTGTCTTGTTGCCTCTAGAATGCTGAAGTAAGTTTCTGTTCGTGGTCTCGTTTTTTTAAAAACACCTACTGGATATAATTGTGGCCATTGTGTGATGCAGGTGATTCCACCTGTTTTTAAAAAACGAAATTACTCATTTTGATGGTAAATTTCAAAAAAGGAAGAATTACTTCCCATCTTAAAGGAAGACAATTACACTTCACAGCAGTGGGTCAGTTAGAACCTTCCCAGTCTGTCACCTTAAGGTACAGCCGGACATTCTTTCTTCCCTTCTCGGAATTAAATGCGCTGAGCGCATAATGCTGCCTCTGCCTCCAGGCTTCTCTCGCTTGTTGGGGTTCGTGAACCTCTGGCACCATCACCGTTTTCTGAACCACCTTCTAGTTCTTGCTGTTAGGAGACCACTTCATCATGGTATGAGGAGGTATTCTATGGTGGGTTTTTTTAAGCTTTCTTTTTTGAAAATACTTTTTAAAAAGAAATCTACTGGTTAGATTTATTGTCTCACAAAAATGTTTTTAGAGATTATTTTGTTCATAAATGTTTCTTTCTCATGCTGATGATCAACTGATTTTTGTCTACAAATGTTGGCCTATTACACTATTTTTTCAGTATAGATTCTATTTACCAAATGACCATTTTAGTGTTTTTAAAAGGTACTGAGAGGATTGAGATATGTAAATCAGGTGACATAAACATGAAAATTATGTGCCTAAATATTTTTGTAAAGGTGTCAAATAAATACTTTTTCCTGAACACATGTATTAAAATTCCTTTCTAAGTACATACAAAGACAATCAAGGGCCATTGGTCTGCCGACATTTAAGAGACCCAGTAATAGAGAAAATACTGTTTGCCATTGTGATACTGTGATTTATAATAAGACATAAATATTTGGTCTTTGTTCCACTTCCTGGCACATAGCTCCTAAAACCCTTGTAATTTCCTACGTAAGTGCTATAGGAACATCTTTTTTTATAATAATTAGTTTTGTTCCAAGTTCTTGAAATAGCTCCAGAGCTATTATTATTGTTATTCATAAAGAGCTTCCTTCAGCCGCACCTGAGTTTATGTTAATACGGTGACTTTTGGAAAGCCCCTAAGGGTGGGAGCTAGTTGCCAGGGGAACCAACCATGTGATTCGTGTTGGAATTTTCAGTTCCCCCTTCCCACTACCACCTGGTGGAGGGGCGATCACTAAAAGCCAATGATTTAATAAATCATGTCAACATAATGAGGCCTCCATAAAAATCCCTGAATGTTGAGGTTCAGATTGCCTCCGGGATGTGCTGGGAGGGTGGTGCTCCCTCCGTCCATCCAGTGATGGGCACTTGGGTTGCTTCCACCTTTTGGCTTTTGTGACTAATATTGCTAAACGTGGGTGTCGTAGTCAGTTTGGGCTGCTGTAACAAATTACTATGGACTGGGTGACTTAAACATTTACTTCTCACGTTTCTAGAGGCTGGGATGTCCAAGATCCAGGTGCCAGCAGGTCTGAGGTCTGGCGTCTGGCGAGAGCCCACTTCCTGGC